AGAAGGACCCCGTTGAGCGGGCTGTCCTCAACTTGGCCACGGCCCAGGTGGAGTGCAGCGAGGATCAGGCAGCCATGGTCAAGATACCCAACACATTCAGGTGGGCTATGATCTGTATTTGAGTAGGGAGACTTTTGATCTAAACTGAACACTCTTTACAGTGTGGTGACTAAGCATCGGGGTTATCTGCTGCAGACACTCGGCGACAAGGAAGTGCACGACTGGCTCTATGCCATCAATCCTCTTCTGGCTGGTCAGATCAAGTAAGCTCCATGTTACCCAATAAAGAACCATTTCTAATGTTATCATCTCTCGAACAGATCCCGCCTGGCGCGACGCACCTTGGAGCCGGCCAGCCAGACGGCTTCCCAGATCCAGGCCAGCAGTGCCGCGAACGCGAACAGTGCGAACAAATGAGATACGATCACGATGGAGTCCGTTTTGGTTTACTGAGACGCAGGCTATGGCTGGCTACAGCGCTTGAGCTTGGCCAGCCGATTGATCGGGCGGCGGCGGCAGCAGCTGTCCACCGATTAAAAGCTGAAAGGATTCCATCGGGATAGCAGGAGATTTATGTAGAGATTGTAGAGCAAAAGCAAAAGCAAAGAGCAAACCAAATGCAAAGCGTACGTAATTATTAAGTAGAGGAAGCAGCAAACCGACGGATTATTGTATTTTGTAATTAGTTGGCTCCGGCCGAAGGTAGTAGAAGGCAGTAGAACGCTCCCATCCCATCCCGTACGAAGGCTGATAGCCCTACTTCTGGAAACCCTTACACATCCGATTGAGTTTCGTGTTTTCTGGAGATTTTTGTACATAGCTTTAGTTCGTTTCGATTGTATAAATATTTGTTAATTTATTTCGGTTTTCACGTGATATTATGTTGATCGGTTAGAGTACTACATATATGATTATTTCGATTCAATTATGTGACTATTGCGCAGTGCTTACAATGCATTTTAATGGAGAAACACACACACATACAGACACACATCTATATATACATATATATAGTAGGTATATATAAAGATTTATTGTATAAAACCTATATATTTGCTGTGTATACACAAATTTTCAAGCATATAATTGTATCGCGTATTGTTTAAACTTTAAAGGAAACGAAGCAAAAAGAAAAGTCAAGGCAATCGAATGCCGCAGATAAATATTATACCAAAAAAATATGTGTGTGTTAGCGAAAGACCGTACAGTATATAGGATATAGGCGTGCATAAGCGAGGCAAAAGCTCAGCAGAATTGCGAAATCTCGATTAACATAACGACTACTTGTTAGATCTATATATACACAGATATAGAAAGATATATTCATATATATGAAGCTATTTTACACAGGAGTTATGAATCACTTGAATGGCCCTGCTATATATATATATATATCTGTAAAAGTTGCCATATAACATTTTTCAAGTGTTGACCGCTTTAAGGCTTTTCCCCAAAAAAAAAAACACAATCACACAACCACAAAGCAGTTTTGTCGCTTCTCTATGCTCCCACTCGGAACCACCTGCAAAGCTTCAAGCAACAAATTATGGAACAAAACCAATTGTAGTTTTGATAAAACATAATTTAAATATAAAATTACGAGTAGTACGCCACGGCCACCTGTACATTTCCCAGTAAGAAACTCAAACTGAAACTGAAACTTTGCTTTTCACACGCTATACAAGAAATGTCACTTGCATTCTGCATTCTGTATTCTGCTTTCGGTTTAGAGCACGAGCTTAGGTCAGGTTAATGGATGATATTTAATATGGCAGACAATAGGAGCTTCTCTTGTGCCCGGATCACAAGTACGGAAGCTCCCTATGTTGTCGATGGAAGCGCTTTCCTTTGTGTCCTTCGGACACAGAGCGTTAAGCCTTCGTTAAGCTGGAGATTGGATCAATCAAGTATTCGATTGGGAATTGGAAATTAAGCCGAGTTTGAACTTGAGTTTGTGTTTATTGTAGCAAAATGTAACATTTGTTAACCTATTGAATTAATTTCGAATTGTAACATATTAGAGAATTGTAATTACAATAACCATTGTACGAGCATATATACGTTACGATACGATATCTATGTAATATCCAACAATATTTTGGCCCCACAAATTAAAAGGCACACAATGCAACACACAAAGGTCCACAAGCGATCTACTGGCTATGCGAGTTGGCGAGCCACAGCTCCACTTATATATGCATATATATAGTACATAAAATACATTTCAAAATCTATCTAAATATATACCCCTCTATATGTACATCGGATATACATATTTGGAGAAAGACGCGACAGGAGATGAATGCCGGCCACCTTAACGAATGAAAGTTAACAGATCAAAGCGTAACCTAAGCAGAGCAAATGCTAAGGGTATGCTCAGGCAAAGTGTCGGCCAACTTGGAATCGGATCGGATCGGATCGGATCGGTAGTTGATGATAGTCCGAAACCGGAAGTAAAACCAGAAAAAAACCTATGCTATGTATGTATAATCAAACCAATCGATATATGCCAGGGCGTATCACTATTAAAGAAATATAAAATAAAACGGCTTTAAATAAAATCTGTAAATTATCAACTGGTTATCGTACTGCGAGGCCTCTACTATATGATTGACCTGTAGGGGATTACAGTTATACAAGCCGAATCGAGTCTGACACACATATTTCTGTATTTATTTACATGGTACTTCCTGATCGACTAGGCCAGTTCACGAGGCATTCTATATAGAACGCCATCGTGGTAGACTTTCTACAGTTTCAGAAAGTCTTATGCAACCAGCCATGCATAATGCAAGTTGTCAAGGAAACATTGTATTCGTCCAGTTTGCTTATTGGAGGTGCAGGGAATGGGATTTGAGATCTGAGAAAGGCTTACTCTTAGCATTAATTTCGGGTTTAAAGATATCCCGAAGCCAAAAGGAATTCCAGTAAGATGTGCATTTCCTGAGCATTGCATAATGTCTTCTATATAATCCAAATCGAATTGTTAAGAATTAACTAAAACAATTGGTTTATATATGGACACGCTCTCCTACGCGATTACACTTCTCGAAGCCGAACAAAGCTTATCGATGATTCATCTTCAATCTGTTCGAATGAATTATTTATTTCTGTATTATTGCAGGGCACTGCCTGTTCGCTTAGACCTGTCCCTGATCTCAATCTCTATATATTGTGGGCAATGGTAGAACGCATTGCTCAGTTAACCAGGACTACCACAAGAATGAAGTCCATCCAGGCCATTTGCCTCGCCTGCTCAGTGATCGTAAAAAATAAAGGCTAAATATTTCGAATTTCAACTCAAAATATGTGAAATTACAGCTGCTGGGATCCGTTACTAAAACCGTGTCTGCTGAAGGACTGGATATCGATAAGATGGCCAAGTGCTTTGACTTGTGTGTCGAGGTAGCCTCAGTCGTGGGTCTGAAGATTGTGCCCACCATCAAATCCCTGGCGAAATGCGCAAAATTTGAGCCCATGAAGACAAAGGATCTGGATCCTACGGCGGTGCTGATGCTGGCCTATCAGTTCATCCAGAAGATCGTCGGCAACCAGATGTGCCTGTTGAACACCATCCAGGAAACAAGAGATCTGCTCGCTCCGTTTGCCACAACGTTCTCTACATTAAAGTGCCTCACTGACTAGGATTGTTTTTTAGGTTTTCGTGCATAGCTTTTTTATACCCGATACTCAAAATGAGTATTGGGGTATATTAGATTTGTGGTGAAAATGGATGTGTGTAACGTCCAGAAGGAATCGTTTCCGACCCCATAAAGTATATATATTCTTGATCAGCATCAACAGCCGAGTCGATTGAGCCCTGTCTGTCTGTCCGTCCCTATCAGCGCCTAGTGCTCAAAGACTATAAAAGCTAGAGCAACGACGTTTTATATCCGGACTTCTGTGATATGTCAGTGCTACAAGTATATTTCAAAACTGCCCCGCCCACTTCCGCCCCCACAAAGGGCGAAAATCTGTGTTACCACAATATTGCAAATTCGAGAAAACTAAAAACGCAGAATCATAGATAATGATCATATCTATCAGCTTGCTGAATCTGGATCAGATCAGATAATTTTTATAGCCAAAAGGAACAAATCAATTTGCAGTGGCTACGCAGCTCCCGACGTCACGCTCAGACGAGAGATTCTGTCTCTCTCGCACGCACTCTTTGTCGTGTCGTTCAATATTAGCGGCGTCTGCCGGAGGAGAGCCATACTGACTAAGTATCGGGTATAAATGTAGAGTTGCGCCGTCCGCAGCAACTCACAACGTTCCCCCTCGTTTTGTCATATGACAGGGACCCTTGAAGGGTCGTCTATCGTTATATCTATAACGTAAAATCTATAAAAAAGCGTATGAAATGAACAACCGTATGAAATCGATTGGGGTAGTCAGCTTTATAAGTGAAGAAAACAACATTCGCTTTAGAACAGTGCCTTGGGTAATTGCAAGCATGAAGAACATTCTGCTCCTTGGCTGTCTGTTGGTGAGAGAAGCCATACTATCCACAGATACTCGGATTGATGGATACACTTTGTGTCGGTAGCTTATGGTACCCTTTCTGTTGGGTCAGGAGTACAACCTTGGCGTAATAGGCATATGCTGGAGGATTTTCCTGGAAGCAGCCTCCGCCATTGCGAACCGTGGCATGCCCCTCATCAAAGACCTGGTAAAGTGTACCAACTTCACGAACAGCGTTGATCTGGAGAGCATGGACGTACCGATGCTCATGATAACGGGATTCAGCTTCCTGCAACACGTGGCCATGGCCACCGACTGCCTGTGGAACATGACCGATGCGGTGGCCCAGATTCTAGAGCCCCATTGGAGCAGGTTTCCAGCTATCAGTGCAGATACATTGGTGTTCCGCAAAGCTGCCTGCCCTTAGCGGGCTGAAGCGGACTGTTATGGCAGCATATAAAATGGGTTTTCATGCATGTCTCATATACTCCGTAGAGTTAAAAAAAGTAAGACAGTTCTTTAAATGAATTTCCAGCATGCAGTGCTTAAAACCCGCATTAATCCTGAGCTGTTTCTGGGTAATAAATACTTCTATAGTGAGCTGTTTAAGTCCTCGACTCCTTTTGTAGATATTGGCGAATGCCCAGTCGTACAGCCTCAAGCAGATTGGCGTCTGCTCCCAGATCTTCCTCGAGGCAACTTCAGACCTCACCAGCAAGGCTATGCCCATTGTGAAGACCATGTTCGAGTGCATCAGCTTCAAGACTTCGGAAAATTTGGCAGCACTCGATACCAGAACATTCAAGGATGTGGCCTCCAGGTTTCTGGGAGAGCTCGTCCAGAATCCCTCGTGCCTTCTCGATTTGGCCACCTCGATAAAAAAAATCTTGGGACAGCATTTCGTGCGACTGAAGACCTATAGATGCATGTACCTGGGTGTGGCGCCGTCCTGTATACCCAAAGATTTATAAACAACAAATGAAAGAGCAGCCTGTACATTACGTGTACATTGGTGAAACTGTGAAGCATATAAAAAGTACTTAGGTTCATATAAAAGCAGCTCAAACCATGACAATGCCGCACAGTTCTCTCATACTACCCTCGGCATGCAAAGAGTGAAGGTTTCACTGCTCCTCGGCTGTCTGCTTGTAAGTGTTGTGACTACGGGATTCATACTGTTATATGTATGTGATTTAGCCGAGACGGATCGTCTCTTAGCTGTTTCAGTTCAGACCAACCGCAGGGCAGAAGATCAACCTGATCAAGGTGGGGAATTGCGTTGAAGCGGGCCTGGAGCTGACGGCTAGCCTCGCCATCCAGATCATGCCCATGATGAAAGATCTGCTGCAGTGCGTGGGCTATTTGCCCAAGATCAGCACTGCCAGAGTGAATAGGGTGCAGCTTCTGGTGATCATCTACCAGTTCGTCCATAAAATGTTGATGGGCGAGCGTCTGCCCTGCCTGATGAATGCCTACATGACGCTATCGAGCGTCGTGGGTCCTCACTTGGAGAAGATGAACTCCTTGCAATGTTCCTATTTGTTTGTGAAGCCACCTCTATGTTGAGAAATTCAGAATAAAAAACGTTGCATTTTAAAAGGAAAAAAGCAAATCTAAATCGACGTAAACGTGACTCATTGGAGGCGTGAAATTTATTTTTACAGAAGGCAGCGAGCACTGCAAATTGAATTATCCTGTGGCCTATAAATAGGGCACGATCTGTGGCTGGCTGCAACGTTGGGTCTGGAGCCGTTTAGCCGAAAGCATCAAGACAGAGAAAGCCCGAAAATGAATCTGCTTAAAGCCGCGCTATTGCTGAGCGCGTTGGTTGTAAGTAGAGCACGGGAAGTCCATCAGTGGATCTTTCTCTCTAATCTTTGAGCAATCCCCCATCTATATTAGGTCTTGTCTGAGGCCGGGGAGGAGTCAGGGTCCATAGACTGGGAAAAATGGCTGGAGTGCACCCATATTGGCGCCAGAGCTTCGGCGCAAATACTGCGACGCACCATCCCCGCGATGCGTGTATTATATCAGTGCATCGACTTCGAGCCTCTCCGCGACCCCGAATTTAGTCAACTCAGACTTCTCAAAAACATCTACAAGTTCCTGAAGCTATCTGTTTACGACAAACAGAGCTGTCTGCTTGACCCCCTCAAGGGAGTTGTCAACACCCTCGAGCCATACGTTGAGAGGATTGATAGCATGCACTGCTTGGACTCCTAAATATTCAATACGTTTTTCAATATTGAAATAAAATGCAGAGCATTCCGAGAGCCTGCCGCCTGTTCTAATTGAAGCAAGCCAAAACTGACAACATGTTTCTGATTTAATTTAGGGATATGGCAGACCAACAACATGCGGATCCTATAAATCATATATATTATGATTCGAATATCTGTCGTTTTTATAAGAATATCCTTGGTTCCTAAACGTAAAACATTTGAACATTACATCATTATCATTGCCTTTATACTTACATTAACATAAATACATACATCAATATTCGGAGAGATTTGACAGTCCTGTCACCTCTGGGGAGATCAAAAGCAGAACACATCGTTTATCCCTGGATAAGGCTATTATATAATTATTATGAATGGGTTTCAATGTCATATGGGAGGCTTTTAACGCATTAAGCATTAAGGTGCGAAGAGATCCTTTAGCCATGGCCAGAAGCATGACGAATACAGTTTTCTCAAGCTCTATAAATAGAACAGATGATTGATCAGACACTTCATAGCTGGGTCCGATCACAATGAACGTGCTTAGGTCGATTTTACTGCTGAGTTTCTTGGCTGTGAGTACCTTCAGCTCAATTTCCTTATAGTAATCTTAACCAGTAACGACTGTCACGACCCACAGATTTGCCTGGCCCCGAAGCAAACCGATGCACAGGCCATAATTAACCCCCAATGGAGCAAGCTGAGCAAGTGCGCCCAAGTGGGCGTCGAGGCGGTGGCCAAGGTCGTCACCAACGTCATTCCAGCGGTCTACGAGATGCAGATATGCTCCTTCTATACGGCGCTTCCACCGAAGGATGGCAAGCCAAAATCATCGATATGGTACCTAAAGAACATTTATCGGTTCTTTAAGAAGCTGGTCGTAAATAATCCAAAGTGCCTCAAGCTCTTGGTGACCCAGGCAACGGAACTGATCAAACCATATTCCGAACAAATCGAGGAATTGGAATGCCTGCAGGAGAAAGACTACATCTTGTAGAAAGGATATACACACGTGGACATATATGTATATGTATAAATATATCCCAAATTGCAATATATCGAAAGCATTTGCATGCAAAAATATCAATCAGATCTCAAAGATTTTCTAATAGTACGAATAACCACTCTTGTTTCCTAAGCAAGCTAATTGATTAAATTTTTCAACCGAAGCGTTTCAAGAGAGCCGCAAAAAACTCAATAAGAAAAGGTTTTAGATTCAAGGTCGGACAAAATTCGCTATGCTCGCGTAGAATTCATTACGGATAATGGCTAAGCCTGCAGAAATGCGATCCCAGAGCCTGAAATTGATCATTTGTGATGGCCGCGAGCATGGCTGATGGGATTATCCTGTGGCCTATAAATAGGGCACATTCTTCTGATGGCTCAAACGTTGGGACTGGAGCCGTCAAGCCTCACACACCTACGAAGACAGAGAAAGCCCAAATGCATTTGATCAAGGTCACCTTGTTGCTGAGCTTATTGGCTGTGAGTATATTATCATCTTACTAGCCCTACTTGCTGCGATCCGATCCATACCGATGCCATTCGTCATTTAGCTGTGCCATAAGAGTCAGGTCCAGGCATTTTCAAAAGATTTTGACAAGTACCTGCAGTGCTTCGAGGTGATTAACGACGGGGTGTCCTTGCTGATCGAAAACACCATTCCTGCAATAAAGATCCTGGTTTTGTGCATTGACTATCAACCCCAGTTGGAAAAGGGCAATAGCTTCCTCAAGTACATTCGAATCGTGCACCAATTTGCCAAGAAGGCGATCTACCATAAGCCCGATTGCCTTATCCAGATGTTCTCGGCGGCTGTCACTTTGCTGAAGCCCCAGGAACGAAAGTTAGACTCCCTGAACTGCTTTGAGGAGTAAGGTCTACAATAAATTATACATTTTCAATAAAAATTCAGAGCATACCCGGAGTTTGCGTGGCTTAGCAAACTGAATATCATCGTCACAAGTGTTTGATTCCCCAAAGCAAGCCACAACAAATTTGATTATCAAACGGAATCCTTCGCAGAATGTCAAATTATGTAAAACTGCAAGGAACACAAGAAACTTGCGCTAAAAATCAGGCCATTCGGTATATTTTAGATCAAAACAAAACTTAAGAATCGGATAAGAAAGGCTTCTATCTTCCTCTTCTATGGTAGTCCATTCAATATGATACACTTAAGGGATATTTTAGGTTGTCACACGTTTTTTTATATACTCCAGAAATCCTGGATCTATGCCCCAGGAGAGTGGCATCATCATCATCAGCAGGGCGCCGCAGAGCACTGAAAAAGTAAGGGTTTATATTTGCATACGTTCGGAAATTTTAAATACTCACGAAACAGTCGAGGAAGCTTCATGCTGATTGATTCTGAGTTCACCGAACATTGTCGCTGGTTTATATAGTAAATTGCAATCCATTTCGTGACTGTTGAACGTCCGATAAAGCCTAGAACGTGAACACAATGTTAGTCGGAAGCGTGACCCATATGGAGATAGTATGAGACAATCTATTCGTAATCCCAAATTTTGTCTGGCACCTGCTAAGTAATTGCTTCAGTTCCATGGTCGCTTCGCTTACTCCGCTCCAAATCCTTTCTATTGTTGCTTAGAAATTCCATGGAAACAAAAGCTCGCCACGCTCGCTGATGCAAATCCCCGACTGGAGACTGCAGAGTGTCGTAGCATAAGCCCCAGTACCAGGCACTCTCGGGGCCTGGGTTTTGTGTTGGTTCAAGCACTCTTTGAGTGGACAAATTTACTTTGCAGAGCCAAAGATTCGTTGTAATTAGGCGAGTTGTCACTGTTTGCCGTTTGCCATTTGCCATTCCGAAGCTGCTCTCCCTCGTCGCTGGCCACAAGAGCATTTTATGGACTTTTGTCGCTGGTCTTCCTTCTTCTTTTGTTGGATTTTGGTCTGAGCAAATGAATAATTCAATAGTCGGCAGGCGAGCGGAGGCAGAAGCTGCAGGTCTGCAGTCCATCGCAGTTGCATTGTTGGCCAGCAGCGGCTGTAATTGAGGTCAGTGAAATCAAATCGCTTGGACGCGAAGCGGCAGCATTGGACGGACAGGTTGTTAGCACTTGCTGAAGCTGCTTAGCAGAGTGGAGAAGAACTGGAACTGGACTTGGTCTTGGTTGGCTTTCGTTTCCCTTGGCTCTCGCAGCGGCTCCACTTTCAATGGCCAAATGCGGCCACGGGTTCTTCCTCTTCGGACTGCTTTTGGGGTTAGCCGCCGTTGTTTCCGTCAGCCAAAATCACAGCCACGCCACTAAAAATAGACAACAATTAAATGCAAATCAATTGAATTGATTTCCCCTCAAGGCACGGTGGGAACCACATATAAAAGCTGGCAATTTCTTCAATCAAACCGAAAGAAGAGGAACCTTTGATCGGGGGTACACTCATCGGAGATTTTCTTCCGTACATGGTTCCCACTGCACTTGGCAAGACGATTAAACAACAATGACATTGGCCTTCAGGAGATCACGTTAGAGGCTGCCAAATCTCCCCAATTAGCGGCTATAAAAGCGACCGATACACACCACCAACGCCAGACAACTTAGACGCTGGGCGAGACAGTGCCACGTCCACTTGCAACTTGCAGCAGCTTCAGTTGTACGAGTAGTTTCCATTGCCAGGGCGAGATCACCCATTGTTGAGATCAGTATGTTCGACTCAAAGATTAAGGTGCCCAAGTACGATTCGGAGGCGTTCGACAATGTGGAGTACGAGCTCCAGATGACTTACACTTTGGAGACGGATTGCCGCATCATGAGCTTCTACGACGCCATGTGGGGCATGGAGGTGTCGGGCGGCTACGACCAGTTCGAGCCGCTGACCATCATCAATGTGTCGCCCACGGGCCTGGCCAAGCGCGGCGGAATGCGCGTCGGTGATGAAATCACTCAGATCAACGATGTCCCCGCGCTGGATTTGACCTTTAACGAGGCCCTCGAGCTCTTCCGCAAGTCCTCGCGGTACGTTCGCGTATATGTGCGTGGGTAAGTAGCCGATCCGCAAGCGTTTTCTCCTTCGGTAGGTAACCGTGTACCTCTTTCAGCGATGACGATGCTCCCGGCGAAGAGGACTGGACCTGCGACTGCTGGTTCAAGCCCAGGAAGCCATGGAGGCGCGACTTTACGCCCATTCAGTGGACCTTCCCCTGGAACGATCGCCGCAAGCCGGTCTACAAGGAGTCCAACTGCTTTATGGTGCCCAGCAAAATGGAGGAGAAGATTCGGCTGCGCCGTGCGGCCACCTCTGCCGTCCACAAGAAGGAGGACGCCCCACCGCACACCCGCTCGCTGACGCCGACGCCCCGGCCTAAGAACCAGCCCGGTCCGAATCTGCTCGAGAGTGTCCTCCGACCACGTGGCCCGCCACCAAGGGACTAGATGTGCGGCGACCCTCAATGAGCTGGCTAAAATGTGAAATTTCAATACGCAGGCAGCGCTGTATCCGCTGCAGTGCTTTGGGATCCACAGGATCCATCACTCACACGTTGTCTACATCAGCGTGGCAGCCAGCTGTATCTTCCCGAGAGCAGCTGGAGTGCCGCGCAAGGGCTTAATCCCGGACTTCAAAGAGTGTCCGCAAAGGAACATTGTCGACGTCCTGTTGAGGATCAAGCTGTTACTCAAGTGCATAGAAAATAAAGGCCACAAGGCCAATCGATTCGATACGTACGCTCGCAGATGGCATTTTCAATTGCCACGCTCTGGAATGGCGGCATTCGATTCAGTTATTGTCGCTTCTCTCTGAGCCGCAATCAAGTGTTGCGTCCACGCGGCCTTCTGCTTGCACTCGGTCTAGCTGGGCACCAATCTTTGACGTGTGATGGATTGACACCAGTATTCGGATTCAGGTTCATACGACAGTTCTTCTAATTTCTAATCCCACTATTATGGATGGTCTTCATTGGCGAGATCAATGAAAGATTATTCAATTAGTGATGAATATACATGGATTTTTTTAGAAGTAATCTGTTACGTTAGTGGATAGCAATTAAGGGCAGAATCCAATCGATTTGATACGTACCGGTTTCGAATTGCATTTTCAATTGGCAGCGGCCGAGAGTCACGCTCTGGAATGGGCTTTCGATTCAGTTATTGTCGCTTTTCGCTGCTGCCGCAATGAAGTCTTTCATCCTTGTGGCACTCTGCTGGCTCTCGATAAAGCTGGCGAGCGCGCATCCGGCTGTTCCCTGTCATGGCACTACCTACTTCGACTGTTACCATTACTGCTACGGCAGCTGCCGCGGCCTCGAGTGCTTCCATCGCTGTCAAAGCGGCTGTGGCTGCGAGGAGGCATTCATCGTGAGGAATAATGGCGCGTGCTGGAAGGTAGAGGTGTGCCAAGTCGGCGACGATGATGAGGACCCGGGGGACGCTCATGACGGAAAACGTAGGAAGAAAGTCGAGCCGCCCATGCTCTCAGAGGCGGGATTACCACCCGAGCCAAAGAAAGCTAAAAATAATTTTGTGCGTCAGATGCCGTCGGAATATGACCTTGATATTGGCGATGGTAACAATTTTGGAGATGGTAATGCTATTGGCGATGGTGATCACAATGGTGACCCAAATGGTGATTACAACGGTGACTACAATGGTAATGAATATTATTCAGAGTCAGTGAGAGACATTGATTCTGCTGGTTTTCCTGAGCTTAGTGATGATTATAGCTATTAAAGCATCTATTTTCCTCAGAATATTGTTTAAATTCTTTGTTATTGAATATCGATAATATTTATCGCAAGTCGAAGGATATGCTAATTTTCCAGCACTGGTCTTGATCAGTTGTTGAGGACGCGTTAGGGAAAGATTTAATAAGTTCAGACGCTGTGATTATTGTTTTGTTCCAAATTTGGCCAAAAACTGATCACATTCCAATGCAATTACCGATGTGTAGCTACTTGATTGATTGAGTTCTAAAGTGATTAAAATAAAAATCTAACTACATAGAAGATTACATACAAACATATGTATGTATTGTACACTTTTCGCTGCCTTCCAAAGGAATATTTTTGAGAGGCTGCCGGCGCGCCGGCCATCTTGGATTGCCGCCTTCCGTGCCCAGGTGCTCAGGTAAGAGTTAATAAACACAGAATATGATCTTCTCTTGGCCACGTTGCAGAGCTGGCCAACAAATAACTCAATTTAAGTTGGAGTATGCGTAGTACTTTGGTATTGCATTCGACCGTGAAGACCAATCAATGGCTAATTGAAAATGTAAGCAAAAGTACAAGAGAATATTGTGCCCGGGCAAATGCAAATTGAGCAAATCTCTACTCGTTTAGCTCCGGCGGGTGTGGGCGGGCTGGAACTGGAGATGTTTTATTAAGCATATAATTCAATTTTCATTATTCAGAGAGCGAGTTTTCTCTGCGGTGTAGACATCAGGGCAGGCCACCGTACACAATCAACTCAAATCCAGGAACAGCATTATGAGGCTGCACTCAAGAAAATTGCTAACATGCTTCTTAATTAATTTTTGTTGTAGGATTTTCTAATTTTAAATTCGTTTTTAACCTCAATGTTATGTTTACCGCAAAAGTGCTCATTGCTGACTGAGTGAGATTTGAGTTTGGGTGTCAGTAGGCCTAGCTGCATCCCTCTCTTGCGTGCTTATGCTTATCGTTTTCTTGAGCTCTATCCCGCTTCAACCTACTTGGGGCTTGCTTGTCTCTCAGTGTACTCGCTCTGCCTGAGTGAAGAGCCTTCTATTTGAGCGAATCCGGGCACTTTATTCGGGCTCCCGCTGCGCTTAATTGAATCAAAAGGGGCGGCTGTCGATGCCTAGTTTACGGCTTAATGGAGTTCCTGGCTCAGCCGCGTTGAATGCCGCTTTGCATAGCAGTCTGAGGAAAAATGGAGGCCCAATTTCAATGGTCGCCCGTGGAGCAAAGGCAAACGCAATCGGAATCGTAATTAATATTCATTTAAAACGAATGTACAACTGTACAACTGAAAAAAGGGACGAAAAGGAAAATTCCCCAGATGAATTTTTAATTTCCAAAGGAAGGAGCCAAAGGAGGAGAAAGAATGCTGCGGGAAGCCGCCTGTATGTCGGCCCCTTATGCCCCTAATGATGATGAAGACGGATGCGAATTTCCGTTTTGAGTTTCCGGGTTTGAGTTGAGTTTATGATTAATGCATGAACAGAAGTCGTAGTACCTAGTGGTCCTTGATTTTTCCCCCGATTCGTCTCAATCAGATCCGAGCTCCGAACGCAGCCGTCGAGTACTGTGGGCGGCGGTTCTTTTATGGACTATGGAACTATTGACTTGATTGGTCATGCCCATGATTTTCACTGAAAGTAAAAGTTTCCATGTTTCGCTTTCCGCCGTGCGAAATAAAAATCTCCAGCGAAAAAGTTTTCATCGGAAAAAACTCATTTCATCCTAATCATAATAATAACTTTGGCTTGGGGGCACTTACAAAATTTCCACTTGTAATCTATGCAGCCGAAGAGTCTGGCCAAAGAAGCCAAATGGGAATGGAAATGGGAAAACAGGTTCGCATCGGTATCGGGTAAAAGTCAATGACGATGGCGATGGGGATGGCGATGACGATGAACAAGTCGCACATCTTTCGTGGGAATCTTGGCAGCAGAAGAGGCAGATACTGAGACAGCCGCAATGTTGTCAAAGTGAATGCCATGGAAAATTAGCAAAAATCATTGCAAATCAAATGGAAAACATGACAAGCCACAAAGAAACTTTTCCGCCAGCCAGCCAGCCAGTCGATAGAGTGCCCCCGACCCCACCCGACCCGACCCGAATCACAGATTGAATGCCGTACATCAAAGTTCAAAAGTGTCAAACGTTGTACACCACTGCCAGCCACCACTGTTGTCCTATCCTCCCTCCGCATCCATCCTCCTCCTACTTCTCCTCGTTGTGGAAGGAACCGAGAATGGGAACACACTCCAAAACTGGTCGCCGGCTGGCTGTCTGGGGGCTTAAGCCAATTTATAGTTTGTATAGTGCCAGACGACATCGATGCCACTGGCTTGGCTTGGACGCTTTTAAAGTTTGCCTCTGCCTGAGCTTCTCCTGGTTCTCCATCAGGGTCGTGAGGTGAGGTGCGGGAGGGGGCTCTGGTGGCAGCCTGGACTATCAGCGTGGACAAACATCGCATGTACGTATATGGGCATGGAGAAACTTAAGCTGTGTCAAATGTGGGTCAATTCCAAGCTGACCAAATAAATGGTTTGTCCGTAGGAAGCAGGCAGTCGTGCACAGAAGAGGCCAGAGGAGATTGAAATGGGATAAGGCGATGGAAAAAGGTTCAAGGTACACAAAAAACATCCGGAACAATTTATATAGATAAATGAATTCTCAAACAATAACATTTGAGTGTGGAAAAATTGAATTTTACCAAGAAAAAGGGAAACTAAATATAAAGGAAAGTTTTCCATCGCAAATACATATTGAAAAGTGGATTTTTTTGATCAAAAACCGATTAAAAGTTTCGTGGACCGCTATCGAAACATGGGATCTATCGATAAGCTGCGATTAAAGTGAGCTTGGGTGAATAAAATCGAACCTAAACATCGATTAGACGCCTTCGATAGACACAAGTCCTTTCCATCGACAATAAAAAGCTGCAACACTTGCAGCAGCCTGAAGCAGCCTTCAATTTCCATCCACTACTCTCTGCCTGGAGCCACAATAAATTCTATAGCCTCTCAGGCAGCCTGACAGTTCTGTAGGAGTTCTGTCTCCTCCATCGCCTGACAGTCCTGGGCCAGGGGCAGGGGCAGGGGCAGTGGCTGGGGCAGTGGCATGGGTTCTGTTCTGTTTTGTTCTGAT